GAAAGGGATCCTTTATGGGGGGTTATATTGTTCACATGGACAGGAAACCACTGGAGGAGTACCCAGCTCTGTCCCCATTTTGTCTTCAGGGAAAAAATCCCAGTACTGAGTTTTGGCTGCTCACTCTGGCCTAAGGAGTGGAACAATGTTAACCATTGGGTGCTCAGCTCCTCTCGGAGAGTCCATGGCACTTCATACTTCATTAGCTGCTATGGTGAGGAAAGGGGTGTTGGACAGTCCCAGCACACTCCTGGGGAGCTGGTGCTGAAGGAACTGCAGTGACCTGTGGACAGTAACCAGGTCCATGCAGCATAAGTCTCAGTGACCTTCAGTCACCCAGCTCCATGCAGGACAGATCCCACTGCCCTGCTGCTGAGCATAGCACCTTCTCCCTCTACAGAACAAGGATAATCCATGTGCTTTCCATCTGCCACCACATTTGATGGACTACAAGCTCTTGAGACATCAGCGAGTGTCCCTTCCTCTGAAGGTGCCCTGTGCCTGGCATGACAGGACCGTGATTCCTCCTCTGGCATCTAAACAATGCCATCATGGAGTGATCCCTAACTAAATGGTGCTGAAACACACCCAGGGTTGCAAAGCAGAATATTATAAGGGGAAAAGAGAAAAAGACCAAGAAAATGATGCTGTTGTGCAAAAATATTGCATGGCTTTGTGCCCCTGCATCAGGCTGCTCCCCCTGAGCTCCCTTGGGGGAGGCTCTGTGTGAGCATGGGCCAGAGCCATGCAATTGGGACATTTTGTATTGTCTGGGCTGCAACAAATGTCAGGCAGTTGGAATAGAAACACAGAGCTGTGGCCTTGCTGATACAGTCCTTGATCTCTCCCTCCCATGTGCAGAAACAGTTGCTCCACGTCAAGGCCAAAGGCAGCGTGAGAAAGGGACTGGTATTTGCATGTGGTACAGGCTCAGAGCTAAAGGGCTTGGGTTGGAGCTCCCAGCTCTGAATTTAACCTTGGAGAGCACAAAAATGAAAACAGGATTAAAGCCAAATGGGGAAGGTGTCCCTGTGCAGCCGCCGCGTTCGGAGCAGGCGGTACCGGCATCATTAAAGACATTGGGTGGTTGCAGAGGGGCCTGTCCAAGCAGGGCTGCTTCTTCTGGTGAAGGAGCTAATCAAAGACTATAATTTTGAAAGGCCCTGCTCTTTGCAGCCCTGTGGAGATGAACTGGGATCACATAACAGGGCTTTTTAAGCACTATTTATGTCCACAGGTGGGAGCAACAGCTTGTCATTAGGCAACCTGGAAGAACTTCATACCTGAGAGGGCCCCTTGAGGACTTATTGGTTTTTTATTTTGTGGGTGAGGAATCCAGTTGTCAGATTTTCCCAGGAGAGTCTCAAGGTGTTCCTGATGATCCTCCAAATGGATATTTGCTGCAGCCCAGACTCCTTATGAGGAGTAGGAGACACTGTGGTGGGGGCCTGGGGAGTGCAGGGCGCTCAGAGGTGGATGGGGATGACTTTTTCCGAGCTGAAAGTCAACAGTTTGTAATTCACACACCATGAGCTGGAGCAGGAACATTTTGGTTTAATCTAGTCCTCTGCCCACGCTATTCTTCTGCAGGCTAGTGGGTGGTCACATGCTAAACCAATAACAAATTAATTAAAACCAAAAAGGAAGGCTGACAACCATGGTGGTGCCTGGGACCTCCTTCCCCGTGTGGCACAGCTTTCCTTGTCTCATTATGGCTGGGCCAGCTCTGCCCATGAAACTGTGTTGGTGCTCCAGTGAGGCTGGAACAGATGAGATCTCAATCAAGAAATGAAGGTAAAAATACTGAACAGAGGGAGAACAAGGTCTGGGGTGAAATCCAGCACAGTCAGAGAAGTACTGCTGCCTGCCTTGCCCTGTGAGAGAGTCCTGAGGGTCTCCCTTCTCTTGGCACAGCTAAAATTTGGATCTTTGGAGAATATGTTTTAAGAGAATTTAAATTTAAGAGAAACCTGGAGTGTGATCAATTAAGAGAATTTAAGAGAATTGCACAGCTTAAGACAAATCTGGGATGTGATCAGTATTTATCTAAAGAACAAAAAAGTGATGAGGATATGAAAATCTGGAATAGCTCAGTGGGAGGAAGCACAGCTCACTGAGGTTGCACAGAGCGATGAAGCTTTGCAAGAACAGGAACAAAGTGCTGGCAGTGGCAGCAGGTCACAGAGCTCCTTTCAGCCCCGCTTTCCAGGCAAGTGCTCTCTCCCCAAACCTGGGAAGCTCAAAAAGTGCTCTTCCTTTGCCCAGTGGGGTCGTTATCTCCCACTTCATCCCTTTCATGCCTTGATTCCCTACTCTTATTACCCAGGGCTTCGAGTACACTTCATTCTCCTCTTAAAGATTCAGCACATGATGCCTCGCTCTTTATTAAGGCTAAACAAGCCAGATGTTTAAATGTTTCCACTGATGTTTTGTCTTCATGCAGATCTTGTTTTTAGAGCTTAGTTCTGAGAGCAGCAGCCAGAGCTTTCCCAGTGTGAGGATCCACAACAACTGCTGCTTTTCCCTTGTTCACAAATACTGTCAATCTGTTGTGGAAGGGACTAACATTGATTTAAGTGATGTTTTCCTGCCTGCTAATCAGTGTGAGAGGTGAGTTTTGTTACAGTATCCAGTGCAGAGGTGAGATGTCACTGTGGATTTGAATAGGAAATATTAAAGTAGTAGCAAAGCAGCCAGAAACTCCACAATTAAGTTCCATCCATCTTGTGACGTGAGGCTTTGAAATTTTTAAGGAGGGAGATTAGTCACTGAGAAAGAATGAAGACTATTAATAGAATATGATCCCTGCTCATTACCAGACTCCAAGCAGACAATTAACCTCAGGAGCACATCACACAGCGTGGGTGACCACTGGCCCATGGGCTTGTATCCCCCAGCCACCACCTTAGAGCTCTTTCTGAAGGAGGGTCATTCAAGCAGTGTTGGCAAAGATGTATCTCAGAAAATTAAAGCAGACTTTAATATTAAGCAGTGGCAGAAGAGGTTGTAGGTGGAGTGGGCTGCTGGATCCCTGCTACAGCCCTGCTAGATCCTACAGCATACTACAGCTAGATCCCTGCAGCTGCTTTCTCTTTTGTTTTATCTGACTGAGCTCACCAAGAGGGGGGAGTGTTGATCAGCTGGAAGGCAGGAGGGCTCTTCGGAGGGACCTGGACAAGCTGGAGGGATGGGCTGATTCCAACGGGCCAAGTGCTGGGTCCTGCACTTTGGCCACAACAACCCCCGACAGCCCCACAGGCTGGGGACAGAGTGGATGGAGAGCAGCTGGGCAGAAAAGGACCTGGGGTTCTAACCAACAGGAAGCTGAACATGAGCCAGAGTGTGCCCAGGTGGCCAAGAGGGCCAATGGATCCTGCCCTGGATCAGGAACAGTGTGGCAGCAGGAGCAGGGAAGTGATTCTTCCCCTGGACTCAGCGCTGGTGAGGCCATACCTGGAGTTCTGTGTCCAGCTCTGGGCCCCTCAGCTCAGGAAGGACATGGAGGGGCTGGAGCAGGTCCAGAGAAGAACAACAAGGCTGGGGAAGGGACTGGAGCACAAGTGCTGTGAGGAGAGGCTGAGGGAGCTGGGGTTGTTCAGCCTGGAGAAGAGGAGGCTCAGGGGAGACCTTATCCCTCTCTCCAACTCCCTGACAGGAGGTTGTAGCTGGGTGGGGGTCGGTTTCTTCTCCCGGGACCCAGCAGTAGGACAAGAGGGCTCGGTCTTAAACTGTGCCAGGGGAGGTTTAAGTTGGATATTAGGAAGAAATTTTTTACAGAGAGAGTAATCAACCATTGGAATGGGCTGGCCAGGGAAGTGGTGGAGGTGAGACTGGATGTAGCATCAGTGCCATTGTCTGGGAACTACGGCGGGGTTGGATCAAGGGCTGGACTTGATGATCTTGGAGGTCTTTTCCAACCTGGTTGATTCTATGATTCTAAAATCACCCACTGCTGCCTCTGCAGCACATCCTCCTCCTCCTCTTCATCAGGTCCCTAATCCCAGTGCTGTCTGAAAGCTTCATCAGGGACAAGCTTTATTTTTTCTTCCTGCGCATCCATAAATGTTTAAAGTGACATAAGATTGAATTAAAACTGATTGGGAGGCAGCTGCTGCTCACAGGTTTTGACAATAAAAGCATTTTCTCAATTCCCTGACCATTCCCAAACCTAGTTTCCACACCGTATTATATAATCATAGACTGGTTTGGGTCGGAAGGGACCTTAAAGGTCATCTCATTCCACGCCCTACCATAGGCAGGAACACCTTCCACTAGCTCAGGTTGCTCCAAACCTGTCCCCCTGCCTGGCCACCTCTCCCCCCTTCACACCTTCTTAGCAGGGAGCTATAGGATCAGCCACTTTATCTCCACTCAGACTATGGGTGTTTAATCTCTGGTTGGGAGTTGTAGCCCCGTGCACAGAAAGAAATGCCTGTCTGACTGTTCCAGGCTCCCAAAGCCTCCTCTGCACATCACTCAAGGTTTTTTTGGATGTGTTAGTAGAAACACACCTAATGCATTAGACCAGCGATGTCCTGAAGAGTTTGAGGTCAACCCTGAACATGGCACATTGAACAACATGAACAACGTGACTTGAGAAAGAGTGTCTGGAAAGCTGCCTGGCAGGAAAGGACCAGGAGGTGATGGTTGGCAGTGGCTGAACACAAGCTGATGTTGGCAATGGCAGTGGCGTTCTGGCCTGCACCAGGACCAGGGCAGTGACTGTCCCCTGTGCCCCAGTTCCTAATGGAGTACTCTACCAGAGCTGCTGAATTGCATTCCAGGTGTTTTCCAGTGAGGAGGTGGAATTTTTACATGTCAACTGCTGCTAATACAACGTATTTACAGGACTTTGAGTCTACAAGCTTCACCTGACACCGAGTGCCATGATGAGACAGTTTGAGTCCCTGAGGGGACACACATGCTAGAGTGCCTTCCTGAACCGGGACATCAGTTGCAGGAGGCTGCAAGATGACTGGGGAAGGAGTGTGGCATCTCCCAGTGCAAACGAACTTTTATTTTCCTTTTTTCTTGTGTTTCTGTGGTGGTGGGGGGGGCCCAGCATGTGGGGCTGGTGCACACCTGGTCCTGCGGTGGTTTCGGGGCAGGCTGTAGGGCTTCCTCACCCGCCGCCGCTGCCGTGAGATGTGTCGCATCCGAACCGGCCCCAGCTGGGAGTGGTTTTCCCTCACGGAGCTGGGGAAGAGCCATGATGGCCTGTACAGTGGTAGTAACTGTGCTAACGCTCTGTTGGCCACCCAAATGCTGCGGTACAGCCACGATGCCTGACTGAAGATGCTGGGCCCGCTGGCTGGAGCACTCTGGGCTGGCTCTTCGGAGATCCTGCGGCGTTTTGCCGGCGGGCTGTAGGGTGTCCAGGACTCGTTGTCCTGCTCTGGGCGCTGCCGCTTCAAGCCCTGCCGAGGGCAGGGAAAGCAGACGGGCAACGTGTTCTGGGACAACCTTGACTCTGCCTGACTGGAAGTGCTGAGGCTGCTGGTCTCAGCACTCAGCAGTGGCACACGGTTGATCCTTGGGTGTTTTACTGTGGGGCTGCCTGAGTTTTGTGCCTGCTGTAGTCTCTGTGTGCAGTGTTGGATCTGGGCTTGCCCAGGGTGTCTGGAGAGGCTGCTGCTTGCATGGCACAGCCCTGATGCTGCCTGGCTGGAGGTGTTGGGCCTGACAAGCTCTGAATTGTCAGTGGACCCTGCAAGGAGAGGCAGGAGGGTCAGCAGGATGGGCACTCAGCCCCTGGGCAGGAGAGGCCGTTGTGGTACCCACAGGCCTCCTGGAGCCAAGTCCAGCCTCAGGCCATGTTGCCAGACCCAACCTGGCCCCTGGCCCCAGTGCAGGGCACCGGGTGCTTTGCCACCCACCAGTCTCTGTGCCAGCACAGCCCTTGCACTCCCAGGAGCTGGTGCTGCTCTCCAAAGAGGAGCAGTGTCGATGGGTGCCCTCTGCAGCGCAGGAGCTGCACAGGAGCAGTTCCCAGGGCCTGGCAAGGGAAACGAGATACTGGTTGTGAGGATAAAGTGGCGCAGCCAGGGATGGCCCAGCAGAGCCCTTGTTCTTAGTTCTTCCTCCCTGAGCCCATGGGGAGACAAAGATCCTGTCCAGAGCCCTGGATTGCTGCTTTGGCAACTTACCCCTCCTCCTCTGTGTGCTTCCTGCCTCCCGGGCAAAGGCACGTGCTGGCGTCGCAGCGGCTGTGCCTCTGATCCAATGCTCCGACTGCTGGGTCACTCTCCCACGATGGAGGTCTGCTGGAGAAGGAGGGGAAAGTGTTGAGCCCCATCTGCCCCAGGCAGACCCAGGCAATCCCTGCTTTTCTGCCTGCCCCGTTTCCAGCTCTTCCGTGAAGCTGAGGACAAGAGGCATGGGACAGAAGGCAGCCAGGCCTGCTGGGGCAGTCCCTAGGCTGGCACTGCACTTGGGAGTGATGTCTTGTGAGTTGGGAAGAGAAAAAACAACCTCTTGGAGATTCGGATCCCCATTGTGAGCATTTCCATCAGAAACAGCTCTTGGTTCTGGCAGCATGGGCAGTGGAAGCAGATGCCAGCGTGGAGAGCCAGTCTCTGGATGCAGTGCCGGTGGAAGTGGGCATCTTGGCACGCGGGGCACACCATTGTTCTGTAGGATGTTTTGTCTTCCACGGTATCCAGGCAGATGCTGCAGGTGTTGTTCTGCCTTGGACGGGCCTGCACTGCCTGCCGTGGGCGGTGCTCCCAGCAGAAGGACCTGGGGCAAGATGGAAGAGATGAGTGAGGAGAGGTGGGAAGTACCGAATCCTTCCCTGGTGATGGTGAAGAGGGCGGAGGAGCTGTGACGGAGCCCCAGTCTCTGTGAGGGCTCTGCCTCTGGCTGTGGGAGGCTGCTGGGAACTGTCCCTGTGGGTTCTCTTTTGCCTGGCCACTGTGGACAGGAGGTGGTTTGAAGATGAAAGAGAAGGTTCCGGCACGAGGGCTGGCAGCCCTTACCTGTAGAGCCCGAAGAACTGGGTGACGCATTCTCCCTGTGGGGCACAGGGCAGATGGAAGCTGCGGTCACATCCCGGCTTGCAGCAAGTGATGGTGGCCCCCATCTTGCTGCAAGCGAAACAATGCTGGAAAGAGCACAGCAGCCTCTGAGCAGCAGGATCAGGGCTGCATGGCTACCCTGCAGCTCTGGGCAGGGCATGGGATGTGGGCACTGAGGGCTCACAGCCCCAGACCTGCCTGGGCACGAGGCTGTTGCCTGTGCTGGGGCTGGGGTTTCTTTCCTGGAATCCAGGAGCCTCTCTTGGTGCAAAGCTCCCTGCTCCTTCCAGGTCCTCACCTTCTTGGCTGCCTCCTGGATGACGCGTCTGGTGTCCCTAACAAAAAATTCTTCCGAGTTCTCTTGTGGAAAAAGCCCGCTGGCAAAGAACTGCAGAGCAGGAAAAGCCAGGAGCTCCTTAGTTCAGCAAGGAAGGGCCCTTCCCTGGTAGAAAGCTGGAGGGAGCCCTGGGAGAACTCACCTGGCAGTAGATATGGACACAGAGCCTGAACTTCACCCTCTTGATGCCACAGATGTCCGGGTCCGCCTCTGCCCGGCGACACAGCAGGCACACTGGAGAGAGAGAGCGAGCACATGGCACTGGGATGAGCACCTCTGTGGGGCTGGGGAAGTGCACCTGCAGGATTGTCCCCAGGATCCTGCTCTGTCCCTGCTGGCCTGGTGGAAGGGCAGGACGGGGCAGGCACGGGTGCCCCAGCAAGCCCCCACAGCCCAGCCTGGGCCCCGCTGGCCCAGGAGAGGAGGGGCCCTGCCCTAAGACAGTTGGGAAGCTCCTGCCTCCCTCTGCCACTGTTCTGGGCTGCTCACAGTCTGCTTTGGCATCCTCTCTGTAGCCATGGGAACTGTGGGGAGAGAGACTTCTCTTTCACCTTGCTCTTTCAAGACTTTGTCCTGCTGTGCCATTGCAGATATGGAACAGGTTGATGGTGAGTGTCTGGAGGGCCTTTGCTGCAACACAGCTGGCCTTTCTCCTCCTGACACTTGTGCACCAGCCCTGAGTGAAGAGAGAGATGCATGTGAGCTACCTCATGGGCACCGGAACCCCCCCCACCCAAGTCAGCCTTCTCCCTCAGCCACCTTCTCTCCTGGTTGACAAGCAGCCATCTTTTACACCTTAAACCTTGGAGATGGTGTCACAGTGACCTCTGTGACATTGCCACCACTGATTGCATGCTCTGCCAATACTGGTTTGGGTGATGATGTCACAGTGCCTGCTGTGACATCACCACCACCTTGACAGTTTGGGGTTTGGGGACACACAAGCCCAGAGATGGGAACCTCACTGAGTGTGGAGTTGGTGGCAGCGCTGAGCATGTGCACCAGTTGTGGATAAGATGGAGTTAACTTTGCATGGGACCATGCTTTGGATTTGTGACCAAAGCAGGGTGGGGGACACAACTCTGAGCCACAGCTGAACAGGGACTGCACAGTGCTGAGAGCTTTTCTGCTCCTCAGCCCAGCACCAGGGAGCAGCCTGGAGGGCACCAGATGTTGGGAGGGGACACAGCCAGGACAACTGGTTGCCCTGACCCCAGGGAGAGCCCCACACCTCGTGATATTGCTCAGCAGCACAAATGCTGCTGCTGCTGCTGCTGCCCCTGGACCAGCAGGGCATCAGGCCTGGAGCCACTGTGGCCTTTTGCATCACTTGTTTGGTTCTGGTTTGTTTTCCTTATTAAACTGCCTCAGCCCATGAGGCTTTTTGCTCTATCAACTACTGTGCCAACCGTGATATCCTAAGCATGTTGAAGACCAGGATCCATTTAATGTCCCATCAACATTCCCAGCACCAGTGACATAAAGCCTGATTCCCACCCCTGCCTTGTCAGGCCCTCAGCCACAACCCACAACCACCTCCAGGTGTGGAGAAGAGCATCTGGAAAGCTGACGGGTGGGAAAGGGTCTGGGGGTACTGGTCAGGAGCAGCTGAACATGAGCCAGCATGTGCTCAGTGGGCCAAGCTGGCCAATAGCACCTGGCTTGTACCAGCACTAGTGTGGCCAGCAGGACCAGGGCAGTGAGTGTCCACCTGTACTGGACACTGGTGAGGCCACACCTTGAATCCTGGGGTCAGTTTTGGGCCTCTCATGATTAGAAAGACATTGAGTGGCTGGAGCAAGTCCAGAGAAGGGAATGGGGCTGGGGAAGGGTCTGCACTGCAAAGAGCAGCTGAGGGAGCTGGAGGGGGGCTCAGCCTGGAGAAAAGGAGGCTCAGGGGGGACCTTCTGGCTCTGCAACTCCCTGACAGGAGGAGGGAGCTGGGGGGAAGTCGAGCTCTGCTCCCAGGGAACAAGTTTGTGTATTCATGTGTTCATAAGGATGGCAAATGTGGGAAGCAATTCCCGAGATGTTAAAATGTGGCACATGCTTTCAAAAAAAAGGAGGAGTGGATAAGAAGTAAGAGCAGTGTACACACAGTGTTGACTACCAAAGGATGTGTGTTTACTGTGCTGGCAAGTGATCTTGTTAATTATTTATATCAGACAAAAACTTTCTTAAGGCAAACAGTTTGGACGCTTTTCAGATGAGGAAAACCTCTGAAGAATCCCCATACTGTTGGAGGTCAACTCTAGCCTTAATTCTTGTGTACTTTGGCTTTTATCACAGCCTTAATGCAATTTTATCTTGAGAGACTGCATGGAGAACATTGTCCCAGCACTCCCAGAAGACCTGAAGGCAGTGGCTTCATTCCCTCTTTTGGCAGCTGGGACATGCTGGGGGAGCTGCATCTGTGTCCCCAGCTGGCATTCATGCCCTGGCCAAAGTTTCTGTTTCAAGTGAGAAATGAGATTTATTCACGTGAAGGGGTAATACCATCATATACACCCTGATGTGAGAGAAATACAGCTGGAAACCCCCAAACAGCTTCTTTTTCCCATCCCCACCCCACTGTGAAAGTGCTTTTTCATGCTGAACTAGAAAAATCCAAACCTTGTGTTTCTTGCAATGTCCATACCACAGGGATCAGCTTTATTCTTTTGCTAGATAATCTCATTTTTGAACTCAAATCCTGAATTCCTGACCTGTTTACTGATGCTGACCTATTTGCTGGTGTGCTGAAAGCAAGGGCTACCCATGCAGTGATGTGATTTATGTGCCACCTTGCAGTCATGCCTTCAGAACTCTGGCAGTGCATGCCCAGGTTTGGATGTGACCAGATATTTTCAAGCACAGATTTATAAAAATGTGGTTTGAGTCTGTCTGACACTGTTCCATGGCTGGAAAAAAAGAAATATTGAAGGCTGAGAAGCAGTTGGCAGGGATTGTTTTAAAATCTGCGTTCCATGGTGAGCCCATAAGCACAATGTAATGGGCATGATTAAATAGTTAAGTCATAGGTAAAAGCAATGGGAACAGTGATTTTTCATGTTATATCCAATTACCTCATTCCTCCCAAAGAGATTCAGTGCAATTCCCAATATTTTCCTTTAGGAAACACAGAACATAAATAAAGCATTTTGCTGTGTAGCAAACAGCAACAGCAAGTTTTGTAAGGAGATTTGAAATTCTGGAGTGGATGTTCTGCTGTTCAGTTGTATTTATTCTTTCCCCAGGACAACTGGACCTTCCCAGGATGTTTTCCCTTCCCCCAACTCTTCCTGTTCCTCATTCATTATATTCTTTAAGCCTGACTTAAGCGAAAATTTCATTCATTATAACTTCATCACCTTTAATTTCTAAGAGGTCTGTCTAATTATGCCCACGAATACCTCAGGAGAGGAATTGTGTTCAAACATCATTCATGTAATGTCCACATATATGGGAAGCCACTCACTGAACACCGACTCACCTCATTCTACATGACAGAACACGTGCCTTGCATTTTGAAAAACTGAAGTATTTTTTTTGCTTATAAAAGCTTGGCTTATAAAACTTCACCAGGATGTGTTTAACAGCTCAGATCACACCGATCAGTGCACACACTGCCTTGATTTGGGTGGTCTGCAGGGCTCCCAGATCTCTCCTTTATCTTGCTCACCCTTTCCATTCCTGCACTGGAATAAAAGCCATCCTTGCTGACAGCCCACTCCATCATCCATTTGTACAGATCTCCTTCTTGACTCTTTCATCTGCAGGGCATCTCACACATCCTTGAGGCCACCTGGCAAGTTTGGGTGTGTTTTCCATATCTGGGTGGCTTCCAGGGGACTGCTTTTACAGATGAATTGATGGCAGGTGTTTGTCTGGGCACAGCAGGGACGGTGCAGTTCTGCCTGGAAAATCCCAAAATACTGAAGGAACCCACCTAGTGTTGCATTTCCTGCCTTCAGACCCAGCAACGCTGGGTTTGCTCAGCAGTCAAGGGGAGCATGTTTCTGTATGTTTTCCATTGCACTCTTCCAAATTTGTGGAAGACACATGGTGAAGGAATATGCCAGGCTTGTTCGGTAGCTTAGGAACTCGATCTGTTTGAAGTTGCCTGATGACATTTCATTAAGCAATAAACTGCTGGATCTGGTTTTATTAAGCCAGACAGAGGAAATAAGAAGCAGTCCATTAGACTGACTCTTATCCACTGCCTGATACTTCCCCCAATTCAAATTCCTGTTCTTTTAAACCAATTTTTTCAAATATGATTAAAATTATAGACCCTATGGAAAGTTTATTCCAGCATAAGGCTAAAGGCTTTGAAGCAAATCTTTTTCTTAAGGGTAGGAAAAATTTTGCCTTTACTTAGACTGATAAAAACCCAGCAGATCTTTTTTTTTTTCTGAGCTAGAGGTGTGTGTAAAACACAGCATCAGGGCAGGATGGCAGGGAGGAGTTTATGGTTTCTTGGGGTTGCATAGAAAAGTCTGCTTTTTTCCCCTGATTCTTTTCATCCCAGCTGGTTTATATCACCTCCAGTGGTTTACAAGGACTATTTATTTCTACTACTTGTAAACCATTTTCCTCCGTGCAAATCCTCCCTCAAAATGACCTTTTCTTTATATACAGATTACTCAGCCCTGCATCCTCTCAGGCCTAGGATGTGCTGTGACTGCACCCTCTGTTTCAGTTTCCCCGTGTCCCAGATCTCATGTGTCTTGGTTTCCTTCCCTGGGGGGACCTTAAGATCAGAGTTATTTACCTGGAATAGTGGTATTGAAATTGTGTTTTAAGAAATGGCCAAGGGAAGGGACCTTGGAAGGGACCATAAAAATCACCTCATTCCACCCCCCTGCTGTGTGCAGGGACACCTTCCACTGGGCCAGGTTGCTCAAAGCATGTATCACATGTCATAGCATGGCATATTTTTCCATACTTTATGGAAATATGCTTTTGTAAAAGCACCTGTTATGGATGGTGTCCTACTGTGCCCCATGGTCTCCTTGGTGCTCTCCCACAGACTCTATCCCAGGAGTTTCTCCAAGGAAATCCCCCCACTGCAGTTGCCTTGGCTGAAGTCTCTCTCCAGTCTCCTTCCTAAGGAGACAATCTGGGCTATCCCAGCTGCCCTAGCCCCAGCTAACCAGCTGTACCCCTCTCTACCCTTAGATGAAGACACATAACTCAGAAAATGGCACATTAATAACATTCCTGATGAATGTCTGGGCTTGCAGGTTTTGACTCAACACACCTTCCCGGCTGTGCAACTCCTTTCTCGAGAGGTGCCTGGGAGTAGTTGGTATTTACAGACCTACAGGGCAAACAGGAAGAGATTGATGTGCTCCTGTCAGCCCTGCCCTCACCAAAGACAGGCAGCAAATGCTGTTGAGGCAATAGTGAAGCAATCTGAAGATAACGTGTCTAGTGATAAATTAATTGCAATTTAAAGTTTGTTGGCTTTCCTTTATATACCCCTAAGAAAGCAAGAGGCACTGTATAACTCAGATGGTATATTGGCAGTCAAGGAAATAGAATGAACAAATCTTACAGGAGTTCAAATCTGGGTGAAGGAAAACCTCTGCTATGGAGGTGAGTGGTGGATGCTGAGAGAATCATTAAGAACTGATGATTTTTTAATTGCCTGTGTGTCTGCATTGCTGCCTCCAGGGACATGAGCTTCTCCCCAGGGGTTTTGTGGAAACCATTCAGTTTTATTTCTTTGGGGAAGAGTTTT